TATCTCTGCTTTGCCCAGCACCCGCTATGCTTTGTCGGCCCCGCCCCCCTCCCCGAACGCTACGAGGTGGACCAGGACGAGATCGAGGTAGAGCACGACCCCCGGTTGCTCGAGCGGCGATTTGCGAAGTCCGTTGACGTCGTCGCGTGCCGCGCGGCGGGCCGGGCCAGCAAGAGCTCGCATGCCGACGAAAAACACAAAGACAGCAGGAAGCGCGCCGACAGGGCGGGTGTGGGGGTAGAGGAAGAAAATGGGCTGAGCGCCAAGAAGTCGCGGCGAAGCGGCGGGGCAAGGGCGTCGGCGACGGTGACAACCGAGGAGGAGGTTGTGGTGGTGGCGGAGGCCTCGGCATCATTGCCTTCAATGCGGGAGGACCCCACCCCGGAGATCACACTGCCACCGCAGCCACCGCAGCCACCGCAGCCACCGCAGCCACCGCAGCCGCCGCAGCCGCCGCCGCAGCCGCCGCCGCAGCTGAAACCTGAGGCAGAGGCGTCGGCCCATGCCTCAGCCGTGCGTGTTTCTAATGTGCCAAAGAGGAATGGCGCCGCAAATGACGCGCTGCTGCGCAGTCCGTCGGCCAGCGAGAGGGACGGTGTGCAGCAGATGTGGTGGGAACGCATAGCAAACAGCTCAGTGGCGCGTTTCTTCCTTCACATTGAGCCCCGCACCAAAAGCACCGTGCAACGCCCCGTCTCCACTGTCCACCAGCCGCTCCGTGTGCTCGACCCCAACGACGTTCAGGAGTTTGTTGTTTTCCCGAACACCAGTTGCCGGACCTCCTGTGGGTTCGTTGGATTCACGCCCTGCAGCAGCATCCTCCGCGTACGCATCGTTCCAACAACGCCGAAGGCGGGGCTGTGGTTTTCCGTAATGTGCGAAGCGGAGTGCTGCACGCGACTTGACATCTGGCATTGCTCGGTGATAGCGGGTCCTGACGCCGACACTGCTTCCTCCGGCCTCTGCCTCAGCGACGGCGCACTGCCGGCGCCCATGTACAGCGTGCATGTAGGGCGGCATGTGGCGGCGTCTATGGACTGGCTGCCCCTGCCGCTGGATCGGCCGGATAACAACACGCTCGGCCTCTGCACCTTTATCAGGGGCAGGTACCTGGTCTCGACGGTGCTTCCACGCAGCGTGGTGGCTGAGGCCGTCGCCGCGGCGGGAGCGCGCAGTGCCAGTGGCAGGCATAATCTCCACTGCCCCAATGTGGCCGCCGAGGTGTGCGGGGCGACGCTGCTGAAGCGTGAGATAGAT